CCCCTCTCCTGCTTCCCATTGCCGTCATCAGCACCACCACACTTAACACTTTTATGGCATCTTAACATTTATAAACTACTTTGTATATTGTTTATTTTAATTCTCAAAATGACTTTATCCATTATAAAGAACAACCATAGCTTTTCAATTTATAGATGAAAATGTCTGCAGCTCAGAGCAGTGAAGCGGCTGCCTCAAGGTCATGGAAGTGTGAAGGAATGGGCCCTCTGTTCCCATGGAGGTTACTGGATGACATCTAGTTGTGTATCTTCATCTCAGACTCTTTCTCTCAAGCCCCAGAACCCATGTTCAGCCAATAGACTCCATGTCTGCATTCTGCAGTCTCAAATGCAGTTAGACTCAGTTTCCCAACTGAACCTACACTTTCTTCTATCAGCTGGTTTCTCTCTTCACAAGCGTTTTCCCCAGTGAAGGGCCTCCTTACCCTTTCAGCTGCCTAACCAAAACTCTAAGTATCAATTTTAACACCTCAATATGTTACCTCAACATGTCCAAATCTTCCATCACTACATCCTGGAGATTTGTCATGACTGTTTCTCAGTCTGTCTACTTTACCTTGTTTTCACCATGAGCCCTTCAGTTCCAGACCCTACAATCTCATATTGAAATACTTTCCACGTATACATTCTGCCTTTCTCTCACCATTACCACCCCATCCATTTCCACACTGGAACCAAAGAGGTCAGGTACTTCCTCTGCCTAAACTCTTGCTGGCTTCCTATTAGTTTGGTTTGGATCCCTTTCCCTCATTAGAACTGATTTTACAATCGAAAAAACTATTCTCTGAGAATTTCATGTATTTTTATAATATTCTTCTCCCTCTCCAGCTCCTCTCAGATCCCACACCCAAATTCTTTCTCATCTTTTTTTTTTTTACCATTTTTCATTAAAGTTTTTTATACAATACATTTTGATCATGTTTTACACTTCCCCAACTCCTCCCATATTCTCTCCATCTTCCTACCTACCCAATTTTGTGTTCTATTTCCTTCTGTCTCGTCCCCCATTCTCTTTAAAGAAAAACCCCACAAAAATGAAATAAAAAGAACAAAACAGAACAAAATGAAACATAAAGTACACACACACACACACACACACACACACACACACACACACAACGAACATGGAATCCTTCTGTGTCGGCTAATACTTCCTAAATCAGGGGCCTGTCCTGTGGCGTGGCTGGTATATCCAGTGGTACTCCATTGAAGAGAACTGATTTTTCCACTCTCAGTAGCTACTATTTGCAAATAGACTTCTGGCCTATGTGTGTGACTCTGCAGCCATTTCCACTACTTCATGCGGTTATTTTGTATGGCCTGAGACTGTGCTGTCTTGTTATGTGTGTGGTGTATCTGCCTGTTATGTCTAGAAAATGCTACTTCCCAATTTGATTTTGAAATTTAATTGCCAATGTAATGACCCTGAGAGGTGGAAGGTGCTTTCAGAGGTGACTGTGCCATGGAGGCTCGACCTTAGCAAGGAGTCAGTGCTGTTCTTGAGTGTTACTCTCAGGAGGGGCTGTTGTGACGTGCTTGGACTCTTGTTTCCCAAAGTATGCAGTGCACTTCCTGTTTTTCTCCCCCACCCCCACCATTTTATTGTGAGACAGAAGAACCACATCAGATGGGGCAGCTAATTTTTGGCTTACCGATTCAACCTCTTCTTTCTATATTACCCAGACTCAAACACTTTGCCGTAATCACAGATAATGGATTAAGACATTAGTGCATTTTAGGTAAAGACACAAATCCTCAGTATGGCCTTATATAGCCTTATTCCTGGCCTGACACTCTTGCATTCATTACATGAAGGCATCTTCCATTTATCCAGAACTACCAACCCCTTCCTAATTTAGAGCCTGACACTCTATATTCCATATGTCTAGAATGCTTGTGTCCCTGCATTGTCACTGGCTAAGGACTAATGTGCTTGTCAGCTCCAATGCCACTTCCTTAGGGGAAAAGTCTTTCTTGACTCCAGCCTTGGGTCATTCATAACTCTGAGTGTTTTCTTGCTTTTGATTATTATCTCTTACCTCGAAAACTCTACGGCAGCTCTCACTATTGTATCCCCTGGTACTTACCTTGGGGTCTGGCACCTATCAAACACTCAAAAATTACATGTTAGAGTGACATTCAGACCTGATGACCCCACACGTTATACACAGAATTCCTCCTATATACGGGGCCCAAATGCCAAGATCATTAAACAAAAAGGAACAACTTATTTTAGTTTGGGAACTAAAGTGTAGAAACAAAATTCTGAGCCTACATAGCAGATTTCAGCACTGCCCAATGTGGGTCAAGGTTTGAAATTGTTGATAGTCAAATAGCTAGGAAGCAATTCCTTGGCTTTCTCCACTAGTGTAAGGCTGTAGAGAAAGGATTACATTAGGATTTATTGAACTTTCACTTTTTAAAAAAATATTTAATTTTATATACATTGGTGTTTTGCCTGTAAGTACGTCTGTATGGGGCAATCAGATCCCCTGGAACAGGAGTTACAGACAGCTGTGAGCTTTCATGTGGTTGCTGGGAATTGAACCTGAGTCCTCTGGAAGAGCAGTGAGTGTTCTTAACCACTGAGCCATTGCTCCAGTCTCTGAACTTTATCCATATAGAAGGCCTCATTTTGTAGTTCAGCTAGACTTGAACTCACTATGTAGCCCTGCTTGGTCTTGCTGCCATTCCCCTGCTTCATTCTCCCATGTGGTGGAATTATAAGTGTGAGCCACCATACCTATAGCATGGTTAAATCTTAATGACATCAGAAGTGTCCACAGGCTACTGCTGTGCAGGCAAAGCTCCAGAGACCAGAGAAAGGCACAGTATGAACTATTCTCCCCATGTCTTTTACTTTTTAAAACAATTATAAACTGTGTTTCGGCAACTTCCTTCTATCCTACATTGGATGGTGTGTGAGAGAGTGAAGTGTCTTGCCTTAAGTTTTCAGCTTGATAAAGATTATAACACAATTTCAAAAGTCAATTCCAATACCACTCAAGAGGTTGAGGCAGGAAGATTATGAGTTTAAAGCTAGCCTGGCCTAGGTGGCAGGTTCAAGGTCAGAGTCGGGCTAGAGAACAAGACTGTCCCCTGGGGGGCGGGGAGTTAAAACCATAATGAACAAAATATAACTTAGAGTTATTTTTAATTTTACCTTCACGCGTATTTTGCCTGCATTTGTGAGCACCACATGCTTGCCCACAGATGCCAGAAGAAGGTGTCAGATCCCTGGAACTAGAGTGACTGATGGTTGTGCACTACCATGTGGGGGCTCGGAATTGAACCCGGACCTTTTGCAACAGCAACAAGTGCAGTTAACCTCTGAGCCATCTCTCCAGCCCATAACCTTTGTTTAAAGAGTTGGGAGAGAACTTAATATCCCTTAGGGTTCTGGTTAATAAATTAAGCCTTTGTTTATAGTCTAATCTCAATGTAGGAAATGCTAGCTAACAGAAACTTACTTGTGAAGCACCCATTGACATTTCACTAATCAGACTTCCAAAAGAATGGACAAGATACCGAGTCTAGGGAGACATGGAGAGAACAGTTCATGCCACCATGCCTTTCCTTTCTGTTCTCTGGAACTTTGCCTGCAAAGCAGTAGCCTGTCTATACTTCTGATGTCATTAAGATTTCGGTTTTGCCAAGATGCCTGCTCTGGCTGTCTACCGAGGCAACCTGGGGAAACTTATCTCGGCAATGTGAAAATCTCCATTTAAAGAAGCACTTCCAAAACCAAACATCTCACTTTCTGAACACAAAGATCCTATTGTGGTATTTTCTTTTTCTTGGGGTTCTGTTTGGTTAAGGTAAGACCCACTCTAGCTCTAAGCCCTTTTACCATAAACTTTCTCCCAGCTTCCTATACACTAACATCAATTAATATAGTGGGTCTCCCAAATGCCAAGGTATCCCTAAAGTGTGCAGTGAAAGGAAACACTTTTTCCAGTCATTTCTTCCTTTGTTCATGTGATTCATTTAATAGAGATTTTTTTCTGAGGACCTGCTCTGCACCTGGCACTGTTTTAATCTCTGAGGACACAGCAGTGGGAAAAAAATCCAGGAAAAACCCCTGTCTTTATTAGCTTCCATTTTTACATGTGTTTTATAAATGGGAGTGGGAGATGACAGCAGTGTAGACCTTGGCATGCTGGAGGGATAAATGTTTTTAGACAATGGTGATTTATTGCATGCTAAAAACTGTGATGGGGTTTGTTTTTAGAGTAGCAGTCCAAATTTAGAAAAACAGAATCTGAGAGTTTATAAAGCATTTTTCATACACGATTAAAAGCATTATTGACTAATGACTGCCAACACATTGCCTGCCTACAATAAATACACAGCAAATCACTACACTAACATCGTTTAATACCAAGTAGTCTAGTTTCATACTGTAGGAGTTGGAAGACTGTTGGCTTCTGTAAGTTATCATTAAAAAGATAATGTAATCGTCACCATTGTTATATTGTAACAAGAGCAAATGACTACAGAGGAGCTGGTTTATCCCTCTCCTAAATCAAGCTAAGTGATTTTATAAATGAGTATCAACACAAAATTTGAAACATAGCGTGGCATTTCCCCTGTGAGCTGAACTGATTTAAAGTAAGTATGAAAACAAAACAACTCCATGTTTTTGAGAAAGTGATGTGAGTGATGTAGAAACGAAATGATAACCCAGTTTGTGGAGATTTCTGCTAGGGATGAATAGAAAGCATTCATATGTAAATGAGACATGTTTCGTGGAGATTGTCCTCCCGTCTTGACTTGGGTTCAGGCTCAGCTTTCTTATTGATCTCCTTAAGCCTCAGGTTCTGGATTTGAGAGGGAAATATCAGAGCTCAATACATAGTCTGATGGGGTCAAATAGATAATGGATACCAATTTGGTGGGCCATGACAAACGCTGTATAGATGAAGCTAAGAACATTGGTAGACTTTCCACCCAACAGATCTTAAATGGTTATATAGTTACCTTACAGGCTGGAATAATGTTTTTGACGTTGTGGTAGAAGCCAAAATAAGCCATGTTGAAAATTCCATGACGTCCCAGAGTTGCTGTAAATCCTTTGTTGAGGCCCTGGAGCCCCCAGCCTTCCTTCTTAATGATTTGTCTTGCATAAGCAAAAGTAGATGGTTGCTGTTCAAAAGAGAAACCAGGCAAGAGACATCGTCTTTGGGACCATGGAACACAGCAAATTACTACACTAACATCCTTTCATGCCAGAATTATGAGGAACTATTTCCCCAAACATGAAAAAATGTGTTTATATCTTTGCTTTTAAAACTTAGAACTCTCTTCCCTACCCCCAAAATCCCAAAACTTTATGCATAGCAGCAGTCTTAATAAGGAATTGTTGGCAAAGAAAAAAAATCTTTTGTGGAGTTAGTGAAACTAATGTCATGTAATAATTACCATCACTTTTAGCATGTAAATAATTGTATCCAGTTCTGGATTACCCACTCTAAAGGAGGGATTATCCATATAGATACCTTAGTAATCCATAACTTCATGTCATACAAAAGGAATTTATATTTGGCTTCCCCATCTACAATGTTTACTTTATAAATTATGCCTTTTCCCCCAAGCTAACGTTAAACATTGCCTCAATGATTTTAACTCTCACTGGTTTAGAAAGTGACCGTGGATAAACAACTATTGATAATACATCTCTTCACATAGGTGGACAATCAGTGTGTGTATCACTTTCTCAGATGCCTTATCAATCAATGGCACTGGGAGCAATAGGTTATCTTTAATTTAGACTTTTCCCACCCTCTGATTATTATGGAGACTGAAATGCCTCGCCTGCTAGAATCCAACCTTTGGAGTCTTTGGAACTTGCTAAACAGCCCACTCTGTTTTTTTCTAAAGTTTACAATTCATTACAATATAGCGACAACCATTCCCTGGAGTTTTTGAGTTTATGAGTGATTGTTTCCTCTCTGGAGGTACGCCACTAAGGACATCTTCCCTTTTCCTCTCAGCTTTTAATTTTTCCCTTATGAGGCAAGCATTGACATGACATCTGCTCAGTGTTCAGGTGGAGCAGGTTGCTCAGTGGCCAAAGCAGTAGACCACACTTTTGACTCCAAGCATTCGCTTATCATTTGCAATTAAAACCACATCAGCAGCTGAACACAAAGGAAGAAAACCAACCAAGACCTATCATTCAACTGGTAATTGATGCTATGTGACTATACACCACATTTAATATAGTAAATGGTCTAGCTTTTAATAGTAACACATTTTAAAATTCCAACTAGTGACAATTCTATAATTAGCTTTACCTTTTTCACTCAGGAAGATTAATTATGTCACCCTAAGCAAGTACTTCTTTGTAATGTGAAAATATCATGTAAGAATGTATCTTGAAGCAACAAAATTCATCTCACAAGGATGCCCAGAGAGTTCTCTTGAGGTTAATGTCTATTCTGGGTTCTATAGTGTGGGACATTTTTATGTGTGCTTTGGTGTGCTGACTGACACCCAAATCATTCTAGTTCTCAAAAGGGATGAGAAATTGTCTATCAGTGTGTGTGAAGTGCTGAGAAAGCCATGGAAGCATCTGCTTCCCCTGTCTAAGGAAGGCAGCACAGAGGTGGGGAGGGATAAGGGCTACTTAGGGACAGGAGAAACAGGGCAAGGATAAGGAGTCCCAGGCCAGACTGACCAATGAAGGTGTGCCCTCTTCATCTCCATCCTCCCTCATCTACATTCTAGGGGGTAGAGAGAAGGGGGAGCTTGTCATTTTTCATTAATTTTTATTTTTTATTTTATGCATATAGATGTTTTGTCTTCGTGTAGCTCTCTGCACTGACAATAATAGAAGTTATGATAATAAAACAATGGATATAAATTTCTTGATAGTTGAAGCAGTGACAATGAACTTGCTGCTTTTACAGAGTTCAATTCCTAGCACCCATAGTGCACAGACATACCTGTAGGCAAAACACTGGCACCCATAAAATGAAAAAGGTGAAGTTGGTTGGAGGGGAAAGAAGGACATGCTTCTCCCAATATCTTCTGGCTGTCCTGTCCCTTTTCCAGATTCCTGGATTCTGATGAAATCCTCCAGAAATGCATGCATGACGGGAGTCTACAGATCCACTTCCAAGTGGATCCACACACCCAAGTGTCTCTAAAACAAGCCAAAGGAAGCGTCTCACCCAGGCTCACTTCATCTTTACCTCACCTCTTCCCTTCTTCCCAAGGATGTCAATCACAGCCCAACAATTCTCCCTTAAATTTCAAAAGGATATACGAGGTCTACAGGTAGATAGTGGGAGGTGACTATGAGACCCAACCTAATCCAAGGCCTGCCTAAGGACCCCTCCAGGCAGTGCCCACCCTCCTTTGTGCAGCAGCAAATCCTGTCCCTGGTGGTGTTAACTTTGTTAGGGACTCTGCTGGGTAAACCCAAGGGAAGGGGGGCTGTGGGGAGTGAAGGTTGGGATGGAGAAGTGCACACGCTGAACTTCCACCGCAGGGAAGTGTGTGTGTGTGTGTGTGTGTGTGTGTGTGTGTGTGTGTGTGTGTGTGTGTGTTTGTGTTCTCAGGCACCAGATATCACAGAGGAGGTGGTAATGTCAAAGCTCAAACAGAGATGTTTGAACCATCTCCCGAGTTCTGCCAATATGTTAGATTGTTTCTGACACTGACCCTGTAAAGTGGGTGGTGGGTATCCTACATTATCAGTATTTTAGTGAGAGGAGTGGGAGAATTAGCTTAGTTAAACCAAGTTCCTAAGGTAAAATGCATCTAAGTGGTCCCCATCCCATTCTCATCCTTGTAATAGGTGATATGATTTCTAGGCTCACTAATTCAACTACCACAGGTAGCAGATATATAACAGTACATAAATACTTTTTTTTTTTTAAAGTTGGGAGTTTTGGATAAAAAGCAATCAGCATTCCAGTACCTACAAACATTAGAAGTCTGATGGACTATTTTGCTTCATTCAAGGATTGTGTGTCACACACATGTAAGCAAATATTCAATTAGAAAGGCAAAACATGACTTCCACTTGGATGCTTAAATAGTAAAATGTAGAATTATTTTGACTAGATCTCTGTAAACACAGGAGATTTTACTAAACTTATTTGATTACTGGGCTTCCCTTTCTAAACAAAATGGTGAGTGATTAGCATCATCAGCCAAATGATTCCAACACTGTCCATCCTAGTATCAGGTCAATTTCCTTGGGAAATTTAGATTCAGTCTCCAATTTTCATATTTAGTTACCGACTGTGGACCAACTGCATTCTAACTCTCCCACATGTACTTTCCCCTGTCAGCATCAGAGCTGTATGATAGAAGAACAAGTGGATTGGGATGTCGGATATGGGAAATGTTATGGGATGTAGGTAATATTGATAGGCAAGTCTCTCTTGAGCACTGGGATGACAGAAGTGAGCACCAGCCTCAGCTCTAACTTTGATTTCAGTGTCTGTCAAATGCTAACAATGGAAATTCCATGTTTTTCCACACATATGTTGAATGCCTATACCTCCTAGAGACTGCAATAAAAGTCTAGCATAGTGCTTTGCTCTTACTCTAGAAATGGCACGATAATATTTTGCTATAGCTTATATTTGGAGTGATATGCTTATAAGTTTCACACATATCAAAAGGTTCTACAAATGCTATGGTCCTATGAAATAAAATGAGATAAACTAAATCACAGAAAAATATTGCATAGTCTTGCTGTTTTTTTTTTTTAAAGGGAAGTTTGTATGGAGTATGTCTAGCCACATCCCCAGAAGAAAACAGTTACTCTCTCTCAGCTATTAGTTGCCAATACATCCTCAACTTGCAATAGGACTTCATGATCCTTTTCTACCCATGTAAGCAAAAGGTTAAATATGCAGAGATGGAGAATCAAACCATGATTACCAGGGAGTGGGAGAGGGAAATGGAGGGATGTCGGTCAAAGAGCTGCAGACATGTAGGATGAATAATCCTGGAGATCCAAGGTCCTATTAGGACCATCATTAAGAAGGCTGTGCTTTGGAGGAGGTTTGTTAAATATGTAGATTTTAGTTGCTCTTGTGACACCCAAAGTAACTATGTAAGGTGGTATGTTGATTTGCTTCAGTACAGTATTTAAGGTTTATTTTTATTTATATGTATGTGCCCCACCCAACCCTGGTGTGTATATGTGCACATCTGTGTGGGTGCCCATAGAGGCCAGAAGAGGGCATTGGGTACCCCGGAGCTGGAGTCATAAGTAATTGTAAGCTGCCCAATGTGGGTGCTAGGAACTGAACACTGGCCTTCTGGAAGAACCATTTCTCTTGCGTGTAACCATTTTATTATCTGTAAGGATCCCTAAATGTTATCTTGAAAATCTCAAATATATACCATGAGATTTATTTAAATAATAACATTCAAAAGTTCAAAGAAGACAAACACATGAGAGAAAATGCCTTTTTTTTTTTTTTTTTTTGCCTAAATCATGCTATCAGGTACCACCTGGGCACTGATTCCCTTCTCTTTGAGAACCCAGTATTACTAACAAATTACAAAGATCGTTTATGGGAACCTGAGCTATATTTTCTGGAGCTGTTCCATCTAACTACTGACCAGAACTGGCTCCAATCATCTTGCCAGCTCACAGACAGAGGTTTTAGGCATTGTTCCCTGGGTAAATAGCTATCAGAATGTAGCCAGGAGTACAAGCACATGGTGTATCTAGATTCCTCCATCTCTGAGGCCAAGGTAGAACTCTAAGCACACTGTTAAAAGGTAGCACTCTTGCAATCCTTAACCTGCTTGAGATGGCAAGATGAGTGGTGCTGCATCTAAATGCTGAGTGAATACGGCCGTTGCTCTGTGTAGCATCATGTATCTGGAAAGCAAACGGGACGAGGTTTGTCCATGGTGGCTTGAGGCTCTGCAATCATTGAGGGATGAATACTGCTTTTTGAAAAGGATACCCAGTTGCCACATTTAGGTAGGAAAATATGCTGGCTCTTCAGGAAATAGACAACCATCTACACTTTTCATTACTCAAATCATGTCTTGAAGAATTTTCATAAATTTGAAAGAAAAAAGAAAGGAAAAACCTTCCTTTCACCTACAAAAAAATGCAAGTGAAAGAAAGCATTTGGGCTTAAAAGTACGCACTTATTTTAGTT